TCAAAATTTGTAAGAACTTATTCCTCATTAGATATATTGATATACAGACACCAAAGTTTTAATTCTGTTTGAATTAATGAACAATGATCTATTGGTTATGAATAAGAAGTGAGTTAATAAAGAAAAGAAAAAAGGGAAGTTAAAGAGGTGTGTGGGTTTTAACAAAGTCTCACATTGGACAAATAGTTAGAAGTGGGAGAGTTTATAAGCTCTCACCTCACTCTCCTAGATTGGCCCTTAGGTCATTACACATTTTGTGAAGGGGGAGGAGCTAGGTGGACTTTGGTCCATCACACAGGCGTGCGGAGTCGGCTGGACGGACCTCGACTCGGATTGGTTCGGTTCGGTTGTGTAATAAAAATAATTATTTTTTAATATTTTGTCCAAAAATGTATCCGTTGCTTCCCTCCAAAAACTTCGAACCCAAACGTTTCTACCCGCCAATTTTTTGAACAATTTTGAACCGAACCGGTTCTTCCCTTTCGCGAACCGGTCACCGGTAGTACATGTTCATCGGAACGGTCACCGGTCGCACCCGTTCGCTGCCGTCAGACACGAAGGTTTGCCGCCGGCGACTGTTCATCGTGACCGGTCAGTGTCTATAAATAGACACTGACACTTTCAGAAATTTATTCAATTTTCTGCACTGAAACTCTGTCGGAATTTTTCTTCTCTTCCGGTTTGCATACTTTTGTTCATCCTCCGGTGTACTTTTCTCTGGCAATTGTTGTGTTCGTTTAGACTGTTGATTGGTAGTGCCACCATTCTTCAGACGAAATCTGTTCTATCCTGGGAGACAAGTGTCCATCAACCTTTAGCATCACTGAGGGGGCAAATTGTCTTAAGGAGACACGTTCTGTGGGCTCGAATTTTATTCCTCTGATACTGCATTTTCATTATTCTGATTCTGTTTGTTTCATACATATCAAGTAAGTTTGGTTTTTAATATTTATAATTGCATAGTGATAATTCTGATCATCTACCTCTTCTGCTTTATACATGGGTTCAAATCTATTAGTGATATAATATCACCCACTGTCTTCAATAACAATCTTAAGACAATTTGGTGTTTTGAACCTGTGATCAGTATATTTTGTTTTATTTTTATATACTGTTTCTGTTTTTATTTACTATGTGATTAATCTGTGTGATAAATTAATCTGTGTCATTAATTTCAAATTTTGTTTGTGTAACAGAAATGGCTAGTGTAAGTGCAAACGCTGCCAATCTTACTGCCTCTGTTCCAATGCATGCTGATAAGCCTGAAAAACTGAATGGAACAAATTTCAAATGCTGGCAATAAAAGATGTTGTTTTATTTGACAACTCTGAGTCTGGACCGTTTCCTCAAGGAAGATTCTCCTAAACTGAATGAGGGAGAAGAATCTGACAAGGAAAAGGTTGTTGTCATTGATGCTTTTAAGCATTCTGACTTCCTTTGCAGGAACTATATTCTCAATGCTCTGGACAAGACATTGTGTAATGTGTACTGTAACCTAAAGACTAGTAAGGAACTTTGGGATAGTCTGGACAATAAGTATAAAAATGAGGATGCTGCCTTGAAGAAATTCATAGTTGGCATATTCTTGGACTTCAAGATGCAAGACTCCAAATTTGTTGTGAGTCAAGTTGAGGAACTTCAAGTGATTGTGCATGAAATTCATGCAGAAGGAATGTCTCTTAGTGAGTCTTTCCAAGTTGCTGCTTTCATAGAAAAATTACCAAATTCTTGGAGAGACTTCAAGAATTATCTGAAGCATAAGTGCAAGGAATTGTCACTTGAAGATCGGTTACGAGATTGAGAATAAAAGAAGACAATAAGATGTCTGACAAGAGGAATGGCAACAATCCTATGATCTCTAAGGCTAATGTAGTTGAAGAGAGATCAAAGTCAAAGAAGAGGAAATATTCTGAAGATGGAAATGCTAAGCAAGGAAAGGGCAAAAAGTTCAAAGGCAACTGTTACAATTGTGGGAATCCTGGCCACCGTGCAAAGGATTGTAAGAAGGAACAAAAGAAAGATCAGAGGAAGCCACAAAAGTTCAATAATAAGAAGAAGAGCACTAAGCCAATATGGTTGATATTGCTGATCAGGTTGAAGAACTGAATCTTGCAGCAGTGGTTATGGAGTGCAATCTGATGGGAGACTCTAAGGAATGGTGGGTGGACACTGGTGCCACCAGACATGTTTGTTCAAACAAGTGGATGTTCTCCTCCTATACTCCCACTGATAATGATGAGAAACTTTATATGGGTAACTCATCTACTTCAAAAGTTGAAGGTGTGAGCAAAGTGGCTTTGAAGATGACATCTGGCAAGATAGTGACACTGAATGGTGTGCTCCATGTGCCTGATATTCGCGAGAACTTAGTTTCTGGATCTCTGTTAAGCAATAATGGCTTTAAACTTGTATTTGTTTCTGATAAGTTTGTACTTACTAAGAATGATGTGTATATTGAAAAGGGCTACCTTAGTGAGGGCCTTTTCAAACTGAATGTGATGACTGTAAACAATTTCAATATTATTAATAATACTACTACTTCTGTTTACTTGCTTGAGTCTTCTAATTTATGGCATAATAGATTAGGACATGTTAATTTAAGGTCAATTACAAATCTTGTTTCCTCTCACAAAATTCTCTTTTCTTTGATTTTTCTAACAAAAGTACCTTAGTGCCGTAACATATATTGACGGGATTGAGTCCCGTAATCATTATTGGCGGGACTGCTTGTAACCTGCATGAATTTGCTGATATGGAGGGCAGCGTCGTCTGAGAGGCTTACGAAATTGGTCACATTGCATTTGTCTACGGGACTGACTGCTCTACTTTGAAAAAATATATCAAATCAGCTTTCACTAGATATATCTTATGGCAATTCTTCTTACGACGGTGCTTTTGCCTTAAACGAGAGTAACCTACGCCAACAATGATCTCTCTTTGTTGTTTTACTTATTTTTGTACTTTTATACAAAAACAGAGATGTAATTTATATAGACATACATTAGAACGAAGGGGAGAATCTAAAATCGAGGCAATTTGCAAATTCAATTACTATTTATAGTGGGATTACAAACTAGTTATTAAGGGGGCGTTTGGTTGAGGAGAAATTTTTTGAATACTAGGTAAATGTAATTGATAGGGAAATGGTTGGAAAGTGAGTTTGGTAGGAAACTGTAAAAAAAGTTGTTTGGTTGGAAAAAATTTTACCAGGAAAATTGAGTGAAATTCATGAATGTGTGTTTGGTTGAATATAAAATATTAATGAGAAAATTTATTGAAATTACAAAATTATCCTTTTAAAAATAACCCTTTAGCTTTTACAAAACTTATTGTGCAAACTTTGCTCACCTGTGAGGGATAATATTGTCAATGTTTTGTATCACTATATCAACTTATCTGATTTTTATAGAAATACCATGTTCAAAGTAGCAGTCAGGAACAGTACTTTTCTTCTTTTTTTAACGTGTAACTGTGGATAGCTAGCTAACTGATATTCATAGATAAAAATTGAGAATCCGTGAAACAAACGCAGACAATTGACAAACTTAAAATCACTTACCTGGGGAAATCAACAGAAGTCTTGAAACAAACACTGCCTAACAGATAATTTTTGAATTGAAAGTAAAGTCATACAGTTGTTATAAATAAAAAATTAATTAAATGAACCAACCCCAGTTAATTGAGATTAGACATGTTGAGTATGCGGCACTCAAACATGAAACTATCCATTTACAATTATATTATAATATCAATGAAAGTGGTGATGCAGCAAGTCATCCATAAGTCACACATTGTTACTGAATTTGATCTAAAAATTAATATACATTAACATTAGCCACTAGGCTAAACAAGAAAGTAGATTGATCAGTGAACTTGGGTAATCAAAAATTCAATTCTCGGTGTCAAATAAATAGCCATTAGTTTTGATTATCCTAAGGAAACTCCTCTATATTTTACTATTTCGTTGACATCCAGATTTTAATGGGTATATCAGAATTTATTGCTTTAAAGGTTAATAAATAATAACTTTAATTTAATTAGAAGTATTATTTTTCAGGCACCGGTAGCCAAAGTCCATGCCAGCTTTTTTAATAAATCGATTTAACAACTATAGCTACTCACTCCCGTATAGTCTCCTTCTCACACAACCTTTCCGGGAAGAAAGGATGATGTGACTCCTCCAATGAGCAATTTTTTCAACTGCAACTCCGAGAGAATAGAATTTAAAAAATAAACAAAATAAATTTATTTGCATTAACTTTTTCTTTTTTTTAAGTAGTGTTTGGTCGGAGAGAAGTGAAAATATTCATGGAGAAGTGCATGTGGGTAAGAGACATCTCCACGTTTGGTTGAAGCATTGTGGTAGATTTGCCCATCAAAATACTTTGCCTAGCAATTGAGAGAAATGAGTAAAAAACGAGAGTCTGTACGATTTAGGAAGTCCTTTGTAAAGGTGGAATTGTTGGAAGAAATCGGATAAATGAAAAAGGGATGAATGACATGACACATTTACCCTTCTTTCTTAAGCACACGTGATCATTTCAAACTTTTAAAATAAAGGTTACTTTCGTAATTGAAGATATTTTTCCCATCTAATTTTTATTTTCAACCAAACATACATCAGACTTTTTAACCCAAATTTTACATCAATATTTTATGGTAAAAAATTTTCAGGAACCAAACACTACCTAAGAAAAAGGATGTTGAGAAATGTTAGGAGACAATCCTAGATCCTAGTAGACAAAACAAAACTCCTTGGTTAATTAAAACTAAATTTTCATTGCTACAAATTCACATAACAATTTGTACTTGGAATTCAAGCATATTTCACGTTCAAGCCTTCTCACATACCTTTGGCTCAAGCAACACTCTGGGGTCTGAAGGCTAATCGAGCCAGTAACTAAAGAGAATAATATTTTCACAAATTAAAACAGATACAAGAGAACAACAACTCATTTCCATACATGTTTTTTTTGCTGTTGTGAAGAAATTAATTTTAATTAAAATAGCCCTGTTCCTCCTCTGCCAATGGCATAACTTTTGCTTCGCGGATAAACATGAGGCTTGACCTTGATATCATCTCCAAAGTGATCACATGGCTCTTCTTCATCGATTGTTCCAATTCCCACGCTGCGACATCGAGACACTTTAACTGCTGCTTCACCCAACTCAGCACGATGACCATGGCTCCTTAGAGAAGAAACCCTCATGAGCTCCTTGAAGTCCACGTCGCTTGCGCTAGATCTGGCTGAGTTAACGCTGAAGGACCTAGGAATGGCGTAAAACTGAGCAGTGGGGCATACCATGGTGGCGTCCACATAGGATAAGTGGTTGGAGCACTTGATCATGCCTTGGACGTACATGTCCCTAACCTTGATCAGGAACCTGAAAGGTGTCTTCATGTACCTGATGAATTTGCTTTCTTTTCTCTGCTTTGTCATGTTGTATAAGATTTCCTCAAGCCTTCGCAACTTGGGCCCTTTATATATATATATCCCATGCTTCATGATACAGTGGATGGAAAAAGATATAGCTAACTATGATTAACGATTTTTGTACCCAAAATATGCAACTTTTTTTTTTTTTTTGTTAGGAGGGTGTTATTGTTATAATTTAAATATTTTATAACCTTTTTTTTTTTTTGTTAGGAGGGTGTTATTGTTATAATTTAAATATTTTATAACTTATTTTTTTTACCGTTGATTTCTGTTAATCTAACAGTTATAATTTATTAAAAATTAAAAATTAATAATAAATATAATTCGATAAATTATAATTGTCGAATTGACGAAAATAATGATAAAAAAAACTGATAAAAAATTGTAAATATAATGATTTTTTTTAAATAAATTATCAAATTAATTCACTTGTTAAAGTATTTTCCCTGCCACTTATGCTTGCATGTATTTTTTTGGTTTCTTTCGCCGACTTACTTTTGGATTTTGTTCTTTGTTTTTTCAGTGCTGGCGTTTGAAATCCACGCGACACATGTGGCAAGAGCAAAGCAAGTGTGATACTATTGAGTTGCAAGTTCAAGTGAGTTATCTACTAAAAAAGAAAGTTCAAGTGAGTTTTGAACTCGATGCAAGTTAATCCACAAGTCTACATTGCTAAATTTATCAATTAAATCACACAAATTCTATTTAAAAAATAAATAAAATTTTAAAGCATCAATAACTTATGGATAAGATGAGTAAAAGAATTTTTAAAAAAAAAACCATACATGCATGTATAAGTGGCATAAATAGAGAAATATTATAAAAAAATGGATTAGTTTGAGAACAAAAAATGGCATATTAATTATAGGTAATAGTTTTCTCATGTAGTAGAAGATAATAATTATCTTCTACTGACTTATTTGTATAAGTGCGGTCCACTTTTAAGGGAAGAGAGAAAAAAAAATAGGATCCATCTTGAATTTGTGTGTACAGAAGAAGATAAGCTTTTTCTTATGTAACATAAGAATAATAAATCCCATTAATTATATGAACAAAAGCCATGACACGGGATACGACCAGGGAGAAGTTGCTTATAAACGAAAACTAGCTAAGTAATTATATGAAAGCGATGGTTCAACGTTAGCTTATAGCTATGTATTTATGTAAATATTTGGTTTAAAGGAAAACAAATCTGTCTTTAATTTCCTAAGGCTTCATCTACTACTATCTATCTTCCCCGCTCTTTTTCTCAATGTTTCCACAAACAAAATAAAGCTTAACATAATATAGGTGTTGAAGGCACAAACCATGACTCAAAGTATCAATGTTGTTAAGCTTCAGCCTTCAGACTCGCTCAATTTCGATATGCTCAATATAACTTGGAATAATTCTTATAAAAACATCAGGAATTTCAGTAAGCTCACAGTGGTTCTTTTTACAGAGACAAAATGAACGGTTTAATTTAATTTTTAGTAGTGTTAAAAGGTGGATTGAGTGAAAAAAATTATAAAAGGGTAAATGATAAAAAAAATTTATAAAGAGGTAAATGATTCCAAGAAAAAGCATAGAGGGATTTTTGAACTTTTTCCAAAGTAAAAAGATTTGTGATCATTAACTGAAAAGATTTAAGAACACAGAAGAACTCGGTTTATTATTCTTGGATACATTCTTTTTATACCCAACTACTTCCATAATCTTAATAATTCATAACTGATTACTAACATTCTAACCACCTAACTAACTGATAAGAGAACCACTAACAATTTCCTAACTGACTTATATTACATAGTTGTAGACACCCCTACCTTAGGTCCTCTGAGTGTAGCAGATAACTCCTTATTAATGCTATTTTCTTTCATTTTAGAGATATATGTATTTGTCTCTAAAATAAAATGCTATAATTTGCTTGTGCGATGGTTTTTGTTCCACTACTAGAAAAATCCATATTTTTGATAGAATTTTTTCGATGCAAACGATAAAAATTCCATTGAAAATGAATTTTTGGCAGAATTTTCAACCAAATTTTTTTGTCCAAAAATACTTCGTCGGAAGTTGTTGAAAATTTTTTTCAGTCAAAATTTGCAATCGAAAAAATTTCCATTGAAAATTTCAACGGAATTTTTTTCTGTCAAAAGCCTTACTTTTTCTTCAACAAATGAAGCCATAATATATTATTTATTTAATAAAGTCCGTCAAAAATTTCAATAGAAATTATTTTCGTCGAAAAGTTTTGTCATAGTTTGCAAAGGAATTTAACTAGAATTCCGTCGAAAATTCCAACGAAAATATTTTTCGTTGAAAATACAAATGGAAATTTTTCCGTCGAAAATACCAACGGAAAAAACTATGGTCTTTTCTTCTTGTTTCTCTTTTTCTTCATATAAAAAACAAAACTATGTTTTTATCACCATAACAAAAAAGAAAACTTGAAAAAAAATACAAAAATTTTCTTATCAAAGACGCGCTCTTTCATCTTCTTGTTTCTCCTTTTCTTCTTTTCACTGGCAGAGCATAACCCTCCTTCGGTAGCTTCTTGCCAACCTTCGACTTCTTCTCCACTGGTGGTGGCTTCTTTGCCACCATGAATTTCTTCCCTTTTGTGTTTGCTTCTTTGATGTGTTTTGCTACCCCATTAACAATTTGAAACTGTAAAAAATGTTGGAGATTAATGAAATGGATTGATATATAAATGTTTGATTTCGAAGTTTTCAAAGGAAAAAATTCCGTTGCAAATTTTAAATTATTCAAGCGTTCGCATTGCTACTGAGGTTTCACGCAGATTGTGTTTTCTTTCGAAATTTTCAACAGAAAAAATTCTATTGGAAATTTCGAGAGAAAAAAATTCCGATGCAAATTTAAAATTATACAAGCATTCCCATTAGCTAATGAGGTTTCACGCAGAATGTGTCTTTTTTTGAAATTTTCAATAGAATTTTTTTTCGTGAAAATTTGCAACAGAATTAAATTTCGTTGCAAATTTTAAATTATTCAAGCGTTCCCATTGACTAATGAGGTTTCACGCAGATTGTGTTTTCATTCGAAATTTTCAACATATTTTTTTCGTTAAAATTATTAACGAAATTATATTTCATTGTTCAACGGAATTAAATTCCGTTACAAATTTTAAATTATTCAAGCGTTCTCATTGGCTGATTAAGTTTTTTATTCGAAATTTTCAACGGATTTTTTCCCGTAGAAATTTGCAACGGTAATAAATTCCATTTCAAAATTTTTGAAGGAAAACAATTATGTTTAAGATTTCAACGAAAAAAAATTACATTGCAAATTTTGACGGAAAAAATTCTATCAAAAATATTAATTATTCAAGCTAATGAGGCTTCACTTTGATTGTGTTTTTATTCAAAATTTTTGACGGAATTTTTTTTTGTTTATATTTTAACGGAATTTAAAATTTCGTTGCAAATTTCGAAGGGAAAAAAATTGTTGCAAATATCTACGAAAAATATTGCGTTGCAGATTTCGACGAAATTGGTTGTCAGTTGAAAATTTCTATGAAAATATTTTTCCGTTGAAAATTCTAATCTCTATTTTCAATGGATTGTTTTTCATAGATAAATTTCCTCTCTATTTTCGACAGAAATATTTTCAGTTTCTATTTTTTATGGACTTGGATTTTTGTCAAAATATGTCACTATTTGCAACGGAATATTTTATGTTGATAAATTCCGTTAATAATTAGAACTTTTCTAGTAGTGTTCTTTTCGTTAATTTTGTGGTTGGCAAAAAAATAGTGTTCTTTGGATCTCGTAGAATGGGTGTAATACAAAATTGGCGGCACTACAATATTTTCGTCTATGACAAAGTTTCAAGACCATAGTTTAAATAAAAAAATTATTTTTTCAATAGACAAATCGAACGATCACAACATTATAAAACATTTCTCATGCGGCATGAAAAATCTTTTTTTCCTTTAATTACAATTCAAATCTTTATTTTCTTTTCCTTATTAATAATAATCTTTTCAATTTTTTAATTTAAATCATAAATCAAATATTTATTTCTTTATTTTATATTAAAATTAAAATTTTGATTTAATTTTTGTACCGTATAATACACAATTTGTATTGTATCGTCCGGTACAACCATTTTTTCAATACACTCCATGATATATATTATTACGTTTGTAAATCATATCATATCGTACGAATCATATTCTGTATTATATACAATACTGATAACTACGGTTTTAGGTGACACTTAAAAGGGGACTAGGAATTGAGTGGTGTAACGCCTGGCAACTTGCAAGGATCAACTACTGTCCCCACACACTAACACGAGACTTTTCAGCGTGCTTTGTCCTCACTCGCACACTTCCCGGGAAAACTTTCCAGGAGGTCACCCATCCCACAATTGTTCCAAGTCAAGCACGCTTAACTATAGAGTTCTTCCGTTCCGAGCTACCGAAAAGTAGATGCATCTTCTTAGTATAGGTAGTACCAATTAATTCTTTTAAGTTATCCCAAACTGTTCAGTCTCACACCTGCACAGTCATTGGAATCCATCTCTTTCGGGTGTCGATTCGATTCATTCATGCACGTAAACTCCCGCTAAAAGCCTGTCAGGAGCCGCTCCTTGTCCGTGCCTTTTTGCACCGGCGATCACTCCTCGCCCTCATCAGCGCTCGGGATGATACATGCCCACCAGCTTCCGCCTGGTTCGTCCTTGAACCACATCGTACTGGAAGAGAGGCCCTGCTCTGATACCATTTGTAACGCCTGACAACTTGCAAGGATCAACGACTTTCTCCACACACTAACACGAGACTTTTCAGCGTGCTTTGTCCTCACTCGCACACTTCCCGGGAAAACTTCCCAAGAGGTCACCCATCTCATAATTGCTCCAAGTCAAGCACGCTTAACTATGGAGTTCTTCCGTTCCGGGTTACCAAAAAGTAGATGCATCTTGTTAGTATAGGTAGTACCAATTAATTCTTATAAGCTATCCCAAATTGTGCAGTCTTATACCTGCACAGTCATTGGAAT